GGCTTGGCCTCCTCAAAGCCACTCTCATCCCTGTGACAGCTCTGTCAGGAGGGAAAAATTATCATGGACAATTTCTTTCCCCTGCTTGGCATCCTGGGCTGAAACTCTTGGAGAGCTGCAGGATTTGGGACAGAAAATCCTCCTTGTTTTGCAGGAACGAGCCAAGGAGAATTATTCCAGAGAAATCGAGTGGTGCCTCCAGCTGATCCAGGACTATCGGATCCGAGTGGGTAAGGAGGGGCCATGGAGTCACCAAATCCCAGCACGGTTTGGGTGGGAAGAACCTCAACCCCCTCCAGTCCCCTTCCACTGTCCCAGGCTGCTCCAAGCCCTGTCCAGCCTGGCCTTGGGCACTCCCAGCTTCTCTGGGATCTCATCCTGAGATCCACCAGGCAAAGGGGAGCCCAGGCTTTGATTCCTGGGTGAATGGAACTGATCTCTGCCCCTGTTTTGGGTTTTTAGGCTGTCGTTCTTTCACTGGGTCCTTCCTGGAGTATTTTGCTGCTGATATCAGTAAGTGAATCCATCCCTTTGGGAGTTCTCTTGGCTGGGTAAAAACTCCTCTCAGCATTTTAAAATTCCTTATTTTCTATTGATACGGCTATGAAAACCTTTTGTAATTTTGAAAACTCATTTAAATAGAAATTCTTGGGGTTTCTCTTTCAGGCTACCCAGTGAGGAAAGAGGGCTACCAGAGTGTGGTGCAGATGGCATTCCCAAACACAGCAGAGGAAGGGGCTGGAGAGTCTTCCTCAGACACTTCCCCCCAGAAACCCCCCAGGAAGCTCCTCCCTGACAGGACCAGAGCTGCCAGGGACAGGGAGAACAAGAAGTTGGTGGAGTTCATAGTGAAGACCAAAGGGGCTGAAGAGCATCTCCTGGGGATCTTGAAAAGTGGGAAACAATCCCGCTGGCTGAAGAAATTCCTGAATTCCAGCCGGTACATAACCTGTGTGGAGACTTACTTGGAGGATGAGGAGCAGCTGGACCTGGTGGTTGGGTACCTGAAGGAGGTGTACAGGGAGATGGACACCAGGAACCTGCATCAGATCCTGGGGGATGGCATCAGGTTCATCTCAGATGTGCTTTTACCTGAGGTGAGGGAGCATGAAACAGGTGGGAAAATGAACTGCAGGGTGATAAATGACAGTAATTCCCATTATTTATTCCTTTGCTGTGACGTGGTTCCTATGGAATGATGTGGGGAGAGTTCCCAGAGCTGAGCCAGGCAGGAACATTCACCCCTGCCTACAGCCTGAGTCACTCAAATGCTGATTTTCAAGCAAAGGAGAAGCTTCAGGTGGATTGTTGTTTTTAAAAGCAGACTGATAGTTTCCTGATGTATTTTAATCACCTCTGAAATGCTTCAAAGCTTTGTGTTGGGGTTTTTTATTTAGTTTGGCAACTTCTCAGGGTTTTCTTGGTCCTTTGTGTGCCGAGGTGGGGGGTGGTGTGCTGGCTGTTCTTACAGTTGTTGTGGATACCTTGTGTTCTTCCCAGGAATTTTCCCAGGAGAACATTAACTCGTGTAGTAACAAAATTACTGTGAAGAATATTTTAATCTGAGGATAAAAATACCCCCCAGGGGATGATACAGAACAATTTCCTATTTTTTATTTAAGAATTTCAGGCACTCAATGAGAGGTTTCATCCAAGTTTTCTAAGTTATTGAGGAACCCTTTTCTCAAAACGTGCTCAGCTGAGGCAGTTTCAAATTCCTGGCTATGGTTTAGTTTTTAATAATAATAATAATAATAATATTTCAGAGGCATTTCAGAGGTAATAATAATAATTCTTCAATGCTTTTCTAGGCCATCATCTGTGCCATTGCTGCCGTGGATGACATCGATTATGAGAAGGCAGAAGAGAAATACATTAAAGGACCACCTGTAAGCAAAAGGTAGATTTGTTTTCAGGATTTTCCAAGGTTTTTTACTCCTTTATTGTTGGATACAGAAAAGATTTCAGGATTTTCCAAGGGTTTTTACTCCTTTATTGTTGGATACAGAGAAGGTTTCAGGTGGGGGCAGGAGAGCTCAGTGTCCTCCTCCTTTGAGGGACAAAATGTGGAAAATGTCCCAGCTGAGCTACTCCAACTCTGAGAATTTAATTTGCTCCAGGTGATGTCATCTGAATAATAATAATAATAATAATAATAATAATAATAATAATAATAATAATAATAATAATAATATACAGATTATTATTATTATTATTATACAGATTATATATTATTATATCATCTGTATTTTAATTATTATTATATCATCTGTATTTTAATTATTATTATTATATATTATTATATCATCTGTATAACAATAATATCCTATTTTAACTTAAAACCTTCTCTATTTTTTTTCCCAGAGAGAAAGAATTGTTTGATGAACAAGTCCTGGGAAGCAAAAAGCTCAAGACTGAGCCAGAGCCTGCGGAGAGCTGAGGAGTGGCCAGGGCTGTCCTGGGGCCAGGTGTAAATAACCAGTGGTGATTTGTATACAACGTGGCATTCTTAGTAAAGTCTGTGTGTATATTCCCAAATCCTCTGCTCCCAGCTCTTGCTGCTGCTCCATGGCCTCGCTGTGTTCAGGATCCACTGGATCCTCATCCATCAGTGCCCTCCTGGGGGGCTGCCAGAGACCCCCAGGGCTGTGCAGAGCTTCTGCTGCTCCACCAACTTCCACCTGGGTTCTTTTAGCCAAACACCCGACTTGGGAAGGGGGGAAGGTCTTGTCCTGCTTGTGATAAAACCAGGGGGTTCCTGGCAGGGAAGGCTCCTGGGGGTTCCCCTTTCCTGCTTCATGGTTCTCCAAAGGTGGGAAATCAGATTGGTGCCCAGAGCTGCCACCTGGATCACAAAGATTTGGGTTCTTGTTTTGTTCTGACAAGTAAAATTCCGTGGAGAAGGAATCCAGGTTTGCTTGAACAAAAACATTCCCTTTTCCTCTAACTGAACCAGTGGAATGCTGGTTTATTGCCTCTTCTGAGGCTGTGAATTTTGGGAGGCTTTTAATTGTCTTTTTCTCATCTAAATTCCCAATTTAATCCTGCCCAAGTCCCTGCTCACCTTTGTTGGAGCTGTGGCACATGGAAGCAGTGTCACCAAGAACTAATTAATGATGAATAATGATAAATGATACATAAAACCCTCTGATTAGGGTTTTTCTGTGATAATGAAATATGATCTCCTTGCTTGTCCAGTAAAACCCAAGATGATTTAAAATTAAGAAGTTGAAATTGGGATCCAGATGTCTATCCTGGCTGTAGTAATTATCTGAATATATTTTAATTACACTTTTAATTGCTCTGTGCTCTCTAATGAGTTTTTCCATGGAATCCTTATTCCCGTTATCTCGAGTACCTCAATTATCGGGACAGGCCAGGAAGTGTGAGGGTTTTATTAAAGCCTGTGAGGAGGGATAATGAATTTTGTGGGTTAGGATAAAAAAATTAATGATGGAGTTAAGTGAGAGCTGTGAGTGGCACTTTCCCTTTGGAGAGGAGAGCTTGGGGAGGGACTGCCTGCCCCTCATCCCAGTGCTCTGGGGTAATTTGGAGATGGGGGTCAACTTCCCCCTCCTTTCCATGAACCCTGTGTTCCCTTCTCCATCACAACTCCTGCTCCAGACCTGTGCACAGAAGCAGAACCACCTCTCCTCACCTTCACTGCAGCTGTGGAATCCTGGCATGGTTTGGGGTGGAAGGGACCTTACAGGCCAGCCATGGGCAGGGACACCTCCCACTGTCCCCTGGGTGCTCCAAACCCTCCAGCCTGGCCTTGGGCACTGCCAGGGATCATCCTGAGCTTGTGCCACCCCCTTCCAGTGCTGCCCCACTCGCTGGGACTGGGCACCACGCTCAGCCTCACCATGTATCAACCATGTGGACTTAATAAAGTGGGATGAAGTGAATCATCAACATTTGCTGCTTTTGTTTGATTATTTTAATCTGTGGTGGGTGGTGCTTCCACCCCACTGTTACAGCAGGTGAATATAGGATCATACAGCTTTATCTGATGCATAAACACTGTCTTGGTCTCACATTATTAATCACTGGGAAATGAACTCACTGGGTTTTGTTCTTCTGTTTTATTTAAAATGGGCTGACACACACCACCTCTGCTTGTGATTGTCCAGTGTTAATTAATCCATGTTCCCTCAGCTGCCTCCTCAATGCTCAGTGTAAGATCATGAACTCATATGTATTATTATTTCATAATTCATATTACAATATTTATCAACAATCCAGTGTTACAGCCCACAGTCTTTCACCCCTCCATTTTGTGTGTGTATGTTTCCAGGGTATTAAAACGATGAAGTGTAGAGTTTGGGGGGGGAATAACGAGCTCCGAAGCCTCCGGAGTGTTTTGGGGTGGAAACAGCACTTTTGCAACCCACGTCCCAGCAGAAAAAAAAAAAAAAAAGCTTCTGCCGAAACCCGGGATCGAACCAGGGACCTTTAGATCTTCAGTCTAACGCTCTCCCAACTGAGCTATTTCGGCTGCACGGTCGCGCTCCGCCCCCCCCCGGCCGTCACCGCCCGTGGCGCCGCGCCGGGCGGGGGCACACGGGGAGGGACGCGAGGGGACAGAAGGGCGGGATGTGGGACACGGGACACAGGACAGGCAGGACACAGGGACAGGATGTGGGACAGGGAACACAGGACAGGCGGGACATGGGACACGGGACAGGCGGGACACGGTGCCAGGTGGGCATGGGCGACAGCGCGGTCTCTGTGGCGCAATCGGTTAGCGCGTTCGGCTGTTAACCGAAAGGTTGGTGGTTCGAGCCCACCCAGGGACGGCCGCTTTCTATTTTCCTGCGCGACCGTGGCTCCGCAGCTCCAGGACGGGCCTTTCCCGCCGAGTCGTGCGGCGGCTTTGGGACGGCCCTGCCCGCCGTTAACGTTTTGGGATCGTTTTGCCGCGGGCCGCGGCGGAGCCGGAGGGTGCCTGCGGAACCCCTGGCCCGGGACGCGTTTCCCGCCGGAGCGCTGAGGCGGTCTCGCGCCGGGCCCTTTAGCGGGTGCACCGCGCGCAGAGGTTGCCTGAAGGGCTGCGGAGAGATGGCGGCGCTGGGCCGTGAGCGGGGCCGGGACCGGGAACGGGGATGGGGATAGGGATGGGGATGGGAATGGGGACCGCGACCTGGACCGGGACCGGTGTGGGCACCGAAACCAACCCTCGGCCTTCCGCCGAAGGAGTGACCGGGAGGGCGCCCTGAGGGGACACCAGGCCCTTCCGTGGCCCACAGCCGGGCTGAGCTCTCCCGTTCTCTCTTGCAGGTCTCCGGCTCCCCGCGCACGGTGTGCTGGGCTGGCGGTGAGCCCGGGGCTGGGGGCACCGGGGCGGTGGGACCCCGGGGGCTGGGGGGGCCTGGCCGGTGACAGCGCTGGCCCCGGGGCTGGGGGTGATGGGGGGCGCGGGCCCGCAGAGCGGCGGCTGAACGGCACCCCGAGTTTTGGGGGTCACTGGGGGGCTCCCTCCCGCTGGGGTTTATGGAGCACCGGCTCATGCAAGGGCTCTGTGACTCTATCACCGTCTGCGGGCCCTTTCTGTCCCCAGGCCCGGCTCTGTGAGTCCCGTGCACGCCCAGCTGCTCCATCAGACGACGGCGGCCGATCGCGCTGACAGGTGACAATTCCTGCCCTGGGGACAGGGAACAGCCGGTTGTGCCACCATTCCCGGGCAGGGGGTCCCAGTGGCACCTCCTGTGGGGTGTCTCCTCCCTTTCCTGCTAAAATCCAGGGAGTTGTGGCAGCTCTGGGAGCCCCGGGGAGGGGCAGCCAGGGGTATGGCTGAGGGGCTCTGCCTGAGCCCCAGACCCACAGATCCCACACTGGGGAGAACCCTCTGCTACAAACAGAGGGGTGGCATTGTCACTCCTCAGGGAGCCACAGCTCCGTGGAGGGCTAAATGCTGATTCTGCAAGGAAATAACTGGAGAGTGGTGGCTCCTTTCAGCTCTGTCCAGGTCCAGAAGAGCTCTGCTGTTGTCCAGAGGAAATCCTACGTCCCCAGCAGCCGTGGCGAGTACGTCATTGCCAAGCTCGATGACCTGGTCAACTGGGCACGGCGGGTGAGTCCCTGAGCCACCAGGCTCCCTGGCATCCAGGGACAGAGGGTGGCACACCAGAGGCACCTCCTGCTCAGGATAAAAATAGACTCAGAGCTCCCTTGGCCGAGTTCTGTGGCCAGAGGGTGACACTGGGGTCCAGTGACAGTGTGGGACACAGGCTGAAGGTGCTGAGGGTTTGGGGGGGGGTCTGGAACTGCGCTTTGGTCACCAGGAAAAGGCACTTCTGGAGTTGTCCCTGCCCTGAGCAGCTGCTCTGCCTGTGGGGAAGGGTGACACAAGTGACAGTGCCCTGGGTGTGCTGTGCTCTGCCTTAGCTGGGCTGGTCCTTATCTGGCCACACTGCCCCATGGAGCTCTGAGCTGTCCCTCTCTGCTGTCCCTTAGCTGGGACACCACCGTCCCCATGGAGCTCTGAGCTGTCCCTCTCTGCTGTCCCCATAGGGCTCTGAGCTGTCCCTCTCTGCTGTCCCTTAGCTGGGACACCACTGTCCCCATGGGGCTCTGAGCTGTCCCTTTTTGCTGTCCCTGGGTGGCTCTGAGCTGTCCCTCTCTGCTGTCCTTATGGGGCTCTGAGCTGTCCCTTTTTGCTGTCCCTGCATGGCTCTGATCTGTCCCTCTCTGCTGTCTCTCTGTGGCTCTGAGCTGTCCCTCTCTGCTGTCTCTCTGTGGCTCTGAGCTGTCCCTCTCTGCTGTCCCCATGGGGCTCTGAGCTGTCCCCTCTGCTGTCTCTCTGTGGCTCTGAGCTGTCCCTTTTTGCTGTCCCCATGGGGCTCTGAGCTGTCCCCTCTGCTGTCCCTGGGTGGCTCTGAGCTGTCCCCCCTGCTGTCCCTCTGTGGCTCTGAGCTGTCCCTTTTTGCTGTCCCTGGTGGCTCTGAGGTGGCCTCAGCAGTGTCAGGGGAGCAGCTCTGCAGCTCTCCCTGTACCCACTCCCCCAGCTCCGCGTGTTCTGCTCCTGGGACCCTCCCTTTGTGCGTGTCACCCTGGCTGTCCCTGAGCCCCGGGCTGTCCCCACAGAGCTCCCTGTGGCCCATGACCTTCGGGCTGGCCTGCTGTGCCGTGGAGATGATGCACATGGCAGCCCCTCGCTACGACATGGATCGATTCGGGGTCGTGTTCCGGGCCAGCCCCCGCCAGGCCGACGTCATGATCGTGGCAGGGACCCTGACCAACAAAATGGCCCCAGCTCTGCGCAAGGTACGGGGGGTGATTTATTAAAAATATGGATGTTGATCTAGTACTGATATCCAGCTGTGATGGACAAAAACTCTCTAAGAGTTTAGAGTTATAAAGTGTTTGTTTATTGTGGGATAGCTCCCAAATACAAACCACAATTTGCAGGTGATTACAGAGCCCTTTTATCTGTACAAATATTGAATGCCCAAAGTACAAATGCATATTCATAACTTTGGTACATCCCATTCCCAATATGGATATTGATCTATGGATTTTGATATCCATAGATATCAATTTAATACAGGTATTGAATATCCAAAATGCAAATGCATATTCATAACTTTGGTACATCCCATTCCCAATATGGATATTGATCTAATATCAATATCCAAAAACTCTCTAACAGTTTAAAGTTAGAAAGTGTTTGTTTATTTGGGGATAGCTCCCAAATACACACCTCAATTTACAGGTGATTACAGAGTCCTTTTATCTAAACAAGTATTAATTTACAGGTGATTACAGAGTCCTTTTATCTATACAGGTACTGAATACCCAAAATACAAAAGCATATTCATAACTTTGGTACATCCCATTCCCCTCTTCCTATGGTAATTAGTTCAAAAGCCATTAAGCATGAGTAGTTTGTTCCTTGAAATGGGTCAGTGGTCCTTTTCATGGGGAGGGGTCCCAAAATGAGGAAGTAAATGAAGTCTTCCTCATTCTGACCTTTCTATCTTTTCAATGCAAATATGACAAATGAACCCTTGATAGAACTCCCATTCCCATCTTCAATTGGTTTCAGAACAGAAGAGGCCACAATTGTCTTATGTTCCTAAAAGCCATTTATCAGTTTCTATATTCTTCATTATAAACCCAGCTAACCAAACATTGTGTTGACAAGCAATCAGTTATTAGTTAACAACTAACTCTTAACTTCATCAAGGCCTACCCATTTATTTTAATTAACTCCAATAAAGCTTATCTCTAACTAAAATCTTAGCTCCTCTAAAAGCTCTAAATTCCTTAAAGTTCATGTCTCAGGAGCTTGGGGAGCTCTGGCACAGCATGGGGAGGTGGGCATACCCCAAACATGCCTGTTCTGCAGGTCTATGACCAGATGCCAGAGCCTCGCTACGTGGTGTCCATGGGGAGGTGAGTGCTGGGATGCCCTCGGTGCTGTGGGGGAAATTCTTTGCTTGTTTGTGTTTTCAGGTTCTTAAAGAAGCCTTGTAGAGCAGAGCTCAAAGGCTCCTTCTGGGAGTGGTGTGTGTGTGAATCCTCCCAGGGAGGGATTCAGGGGCTTTGCAGCTGCCAGACTTGTGTTTATTCAGAATGCCAGAGTTTGCTTTTGGCTGTCAAAATGCTTCTGCTGTGCTGGAATCTGCTCCATGGGGGACTCATTTGGAATCTGCTCTCTGAGGGATTCAGTTGGAATCTGTTCTGTGGGGGACTCAGTTGGACTCCATGGTCTCAGAGGTCTTTTCCACCCTCAATAATTCCACGATTCTCACAATTTTCTTGTCCCCACAAATTTTTTTTGTCCCCACTGGCTGAGGGTGGCCAGTCCAGGCTGGAACAGGACAAATTCTGGGAAAGCTCTGAGGCAAAATGGAAGGGTTTTTAGGAGGGAGGGAGGGCTGTGGAATGTACTCTGTGAGGGAGATGGGCACAGTTCATTTGGGTTGGATTCATCTGAAACCCTCCCAGGCAGGGCTCGTGATGGGACAGTGTCACCTGTGGAGCTGGAGGCTCCGAGCCTGGCAGTGTCCACCTGCCCAGGGCCACCTTCCCTTGGCCTCCTGCTCACCCTCCTGTCCCTGTCCCTGTCCCTGTCCCTGTCCTGCAGCTGTGCCAATGGTGGGGGCTACTACCACTACTCCTACTCCGTGGTGAGGGGCTGCGACCGCATCGTGCCCGTGGACATTTACGTGCCAGGTACAAGGGGCAGCTCTGTGGGAAGTCAAAGCTCCACCTGGGAGCAGGGAGAGAGGAGGGAATTCTCTGCATTCAGGTGCAGCTTTGAAAGGTTTTTCTGTTTCAGTTTGAAAGGTTTTCCTGTTGCAGTAGCTCCACAGATTGTGGGATAGGGAGGGTTGTAATGGTGGTGGCACCATCAGTGGGGTGGGACGAGGGTTTGGATACACTTTGAAATTAAATAATTGCTATGTTTGATTAAGATCTTCTGATGAACAGCATCAATTTAGTTTCTTTACACTCCTGCCAGTGTCAGCCACAAAGCCAGAGGGGAGTCAGCTTTGGGATAAGTCCTGGGGTTGGCACCTGCTGCTGGCCCCAGCTCTGTGCAGGTACCTGCCCTGTGACCTTTTCCCCTTCCTCCCTTCTCTCCCTTCTCTCCTTTCTCAGGTTGCCCCCCCACAGCTGAGGCTCTGCTCTACGGGATCCTGCAGCTGCAGAGGAAAATCAAGAGGGAGAGGAGGATGCAGATCTGGTACAGGAAATAGCCTTTATTTATGTCCCCACTCACTGCTCACATTTACGCACAAATCCGGCTCCTCACACGCCTCCAATAAAACTCTACCTGGTCCAGGTGCTTTTCTGTCTTTAATAAACCCCTCTGATCTGAGGGGCTGAAAAACTGGGCTAAAAAGCAGGAGCTGAGTTTGATAACACTGCTGAGTTGGTCTGAGCAATCTGTCAGGGAAGGTGATGTCATATTGTGACATAAAGGCTTTGCCAGAATTTTTTTTTAGCTTTGTTGGGAAGTTTTGAGACCCAACACATGTCCAGGTGATTCCTGAGCCCTCCCTGAGCTCGTCCCTTACTCACCACCTGCTCCTTGTTGGTAATTCCTACACAGGATCTAATAAATCCATAATATTTGTGTGCACAGGGGCCAGAAATTAATTCTGTTTCTGTAACAAGTGAAATACTGATGCTTAAAATCAGAATGTGATTAATAAACCTGAATGTAGAGCTCCTAAGCAGGGCAGGGATAAAGCAGCCTGTCCTGGATGCATCCCAGGAGCCTGGGATGAGGAATGGTCGTGCCTGAGGGACAAACACACTTTGGAAAGACAAATAAATCGCTCGGGAACAGCAGTTTGGGTATTTCATTCCTTTTAATGGACTTTATCCCTTCTGGGGAGAGAGGAAACATCATTTATTGAGCTCTGAGGGGAGGTTGGGGTCAGGATTTGCTGCCGTGGGCTTTGTCCAAAAATGTTGGGAAACCTCCCTGGGGAGTTGCTTCAGGAGAAGCTGAAATGCCTCAGAATGCCTCAGATTGCCCCATTTCTCCCACCTGGTTTGGATTATTTGACTCTTGTGGGGAGCCATCCTGTAATTTCTCAAAATGATGCAGTTTTTAGAAGAAATGGCTGGTTCTGGAACCCATTTGGCCAAAGGCTCTGAACCACACTGTGAAATTCCAGCTTAATTGAGAATTTGAAATCTTGAGGGGACAGAGCAGGGTGAGATCTTCCCCAGAGCCCACAAGACCCCTGTAGGGCAGGGGGCTCCTGGGGCAGGGGATTTCCTGTCCTTTTGTCCCTGGAATCCATCCCAAGCCTCCACCCATCTCTTAGGGGCTTTAAAGAACATCAGAGCTTTTCTCCTCCTCCTCCTCAGCTCCCGCCCAGCTCCTCCCCGGGCGGGCCCTCAGTGTTTGAGGACGGTGGGGGTGATCATCCTGGGGTGGGAGTAGTAGCGGCACTCGGGGGGCGGCTGCAGCTCCATCACCCTCGTGCTGATGTTCTCCCTCCTGAACCCCGCCTGCAGCAGCGGCCCCACCTGGGTTTCCTGCAGGAGAGGAGGGCAGGGAGGAGCAGCCGTGGCTTGGGGTGTCCCATGTGAGAAGGGACGGCTGGAGGAAAACCCCTCCGAGCTGCCCTCTGGCGTTCCCCAGCCTCGGAGCGCTCCGGCGCAGCTTCGGGGAGAGGAGCAACTCACCTCAAACATCTGCTCGATGTCGCTGTACCTGGTCTTGAGCAGCTCCCCCCACGAGGTGAGGTTGCAGTAGGTGAGGACCCCTCCCGGCCGCAGCAGGCGGAAGGCGTGGCCCTGCCCCGGGAATTCGGGAATTTTGGGAATTCGGCTCAGCTCTTCCCACTCAGCCCCCGGCCCCAGCTCCCCCTGGAGCCCCAGCTCCGCCCCGCAGAGCCGCTCCCCGAGGTGTCACCTTGATGAAGTTGAACTGATGCGTGTGCCAGGTGTCCTCTGACAGCGGGTAGGTGTCGTACAGGATCCCTGCCCGGGAACACGGGGCTGGCCGTTAGCTGGGAGAGACCCTGAGGGCTCCTGTGTCCCAGGAAAATCCCCCTCCATGGCCTGGAATTGCTCTGTTCCCATTGCAATTCCCTCCCCATGTCTCTGACCCCTGGAAGGCAGCGATGTGATGGCCCCCAGGACAAGGATCCATTTCCCCAGGACAAGGATCTGCTCCCCAGGACAAGGATCCATTTCCCCAGGACAAGGATCCATTTCCCCAGGACAAGGATCTGCTCCCATTTCCCCAGGACAAGGATCTGCTCCCCAGGACAAGGATCCATTTCCCCAGGACAAGGATCCATTTCCCCAGGACAAGGATCCAGCCCAGGACAAGGATCCATTTCCCCAGGACAAGGACCCCAGACCTGTGCCCTATCCCCAGCCCCATGGGAGAATCTGGTCTCCACCTGCACCCTGGCCAAACTGCTGCCCCCTTTCCATGGCTCAGGGATGTCCTGGGATGCCCTGGGCTTTGCTGCACCCCCAGTTTGCAGTGGGGTGCCCAGCCCAGCCCCTGCCCATCCTGCTGTTGGTGTCTCACCACTGAAGTGCCCGTCCGGCAGCGTTGGCACCACGTCCTCCCACAGCCCCTTCAGGGGCACCACCTGCGGGTGAGGGGCAGAGGGGTGAGGTTGGGGGGCCACAGGCACCCCCCAAGCCTGGCACAGCCCAGCCTGCCCCTGACCTTGTGTGGCTGCGCCTTGGCCCACTGCTCCAGGCGCCGGAAAACGCCCTCGTTGCACTCGATGATCCAGTGCTCGTCGATGCCGAATTCCTGCACCTTGGAGGCGGCGATGGCCATGCCAAACCCCACCTCCAGCACGCGGCCGCCTGCAGGTGGAACCCAGCACTCACAGCTCCGGGTTTTCTCTGCCTCAACCCCCCCCAAGCCCTGAATTCTGACCCATTCTTTTCCCCAGATTGAGCTTTTTGGGAGCACGTGGTGCTGCTGGCACTGAGAAGTTGGGAGCAGCCCCATGTCCCTGTCACCTGCTGCACCCCCACAGTGGCTCTTTGTCCCCAACAAACCGCCCCAGTTGATCCCAGTAAGAGCAAACAACATCCAACCATCCCTCTGCCAGGGAAACAGCCCCAAAAGCAGCAGATCCCGGGAGGAGAAACAGCCCCAAAAGTGGCAGATCCTGGGAGGAGAAACAGCCCCAAAAACGGCAGATCCTGGGAGGAGAAACGGCCCCGAAAACGGCAGATCCTGGGAGGAGAAACGGCCCCAAAAGTGGCAGATTCTGGGAGGAGAAACGGCCCCAAAAGTGGCAGATACTGGGAGGGGAAACAGCCCCAAAATCATTAGGGCCATGGGAGGTGGCTGCATCCCCTCCACATGTCCCCATCCCTGACACAAGGACGCAAGTGCCACCATGGCCCTGCTGCCCCTGGGGGCTCATGCAGTGGGGGGCACATGCAGTGGGGTCCCCCAGCAGAACATCTCCCCCCAGCCCAGCTGCTTTAGGGGAAGCTGCACCCCCAGCACATCCCAGAGCCCCCGTTACCCTTGGATGCAGCCACGGTAGCCAGCGAGTGCATGTAGGGCGTCTCCCAGCGCTCCATCACCGGCTTGCCCAGGATCTCCAGGTGGGCATCGGGCTCATCGTAGCCCGCCCTGGCCTCCCTCCAGGCCGCCCTGCAGTCCTCGCCCTCGGTGAAGATCGGCCCTGCTGCCGCTCCAGAGCTCATGGCTGCAGGAGGAAAGTCCAGCTGGACGGGGAGGGAGGGAGAGAAAGGGCCACCGGGCTCTTGGCCGGCTTTAAATAGCCCTGCTGGAAAGTGCTGAGTGTGCACAGCCGGCTGGGGCCCCTCTGGGGATCGGGGGCCCTTATCGGGAATGGGAGCCCTTATCAGGAATGGGAGTCCTTATCGGGAACAGGGCACCACGGGGCTGCCAGGCCGGAGGGGTCACCAGGGTGTCCCCGCTCATGGGCAATGGGACCCCTGGGATGGGAAGTAGGATCCCGGGGATGGGCAGTGGGATCCCTGGGACAGGCAATGAGGACCCTCAGATGGGCAATGGGATCCTGGGAATGGGCAATGGGGACTCTGAGATGGGCAATGGGATCCCCGGGATGGGCAATGGGACCCTGGAATAGGCAATGGGATCCCGGGATGGGCAATGGGGCCCCCGGGATGGGCAATGGGGCCCCCGGGATGGCCAATAGGACCCCCGGGATGGGCAATAGGACCCTGGAATAGCCAATGGGATCCCGGGATGGCCAATGGGACCCCGCGGAGGCCCCGCCCCCCCGCGCGCGCGGACTGCCCTTCCCGCCGGCCCCCGCGCGCGCGCGGCCACGCCCCTCTCTGCCCCTCCCAGGGCGCGGCCCCGGAGACCCCGTAGCGAGGGACGGGTGCGCGCGCAGCGGCGGCGCTGAGGGAGCGCGAGCGCGCGGCGGGGGGGGCCGGGCCGGGCCGGGGGCGGCGGGGGGGGAACCGGGACACGGGAACCGGGACACGGCCGGGAGCGCCCGCCCGCGGCCCCACGACCCGCCGCTGGCACCGCCGCCACCGGAGGGAAGAGCCGGGCGCGGCCCCGGAGGAGTCGCCGCCATGAACAGCGTGGGAGGCGCCGATGAGATCGGGTGAGAGGAAGGGGAGGGCAGCGCGCCGGGACGATGGTGCGAGGTTCGGTCACCTTTTCCCGCAACCTCAGCAGAGCGTCCCGCCGGAGCTCCCCCGGGCCGGGGGGCTGAGCGGGCACCGGTGGCGGGCTGGGGTGGGGGGGCGTTAAGGGGGAGCCGGTCCCGGGCCGGGGGTGCTGAGGGGGGGCCGGTCCCGCCATGTTGGGGCCGTGAGGGCGCACACACCCCCCCTTCACCCCCCCCTCCCGTCACGTGACCGGCGCGCGCGCGGGGCTGCGGCAGGTGCGCGCGCCCAAGGTCACCCGCCCGCGGCGCTTCCCGCGCCCGCCCGCACCGGATCCCCCCGCGTCCCACCCGCGTCCCACCTCTGCCCCTTCGGGCCCTCCTCTCCTGTCACCGGACGCGGGGACGCGGGGCAGGCGGCGTGGTCAACACGCCGGTCAAGGGAGGGGATTGTCCCGCTCTGCTGGTGCGGCCTCACCTTGAGTCCTGCGTGCAGTTTTAGGCGCCACAGTATAAGGAGGATACTGAGGTGTTAGCGTGCAAAGGAGGGCAGCGGGCGTGGGGAAACCTTAGGAGGAGCGGCTGAGGTTACTTGGTGTGTTCAGCCTGGAGGAGACTGAGGGGAGATCTCATCGCAGTTTAAAACTTACTCGTGAGGGGAAGCAGAGGGGCAGCTCCGATCTTTGCTTCACCCACCAGTGACAGAACCCGAGGGAACGGCTGGAGCTGTGTCCGGGGAGGTTTAGGGTGCCTCTCAGGGAAAGGCTTTTCCCCCGCAGGGTGCTGGAGCACTGCCCAGGCTCCCCAGAGAATGGTCTCGCCCTCGAGGCTGCCAGAACTCCAGGAGCGCTTGGACAACGCTGCCAGGGACAGGGTGGGATTGTTGAAGAGTTTTTGTGCAGGGCCCGGAATTGGTCTCGATGGTCCTTGAGGGTCTGTTCTGTGATTCTGTGACTCCGCTGGGGACCTTGTTCTGGTGACTCATCAGGGCCCCCCCGAGGGGCTTGCGGTGAGGAAGGGGAAGGTGGTGGGACAAAGGTGGCACCACGAGCCTCCCCTCGCCCTCCGTGTCCCCCTCAGGGCTGCCGTCCCGAGCTCCCCTGTGCTGTCCTCTGCCCGGGATGTTCCAGGTGGGAAAATCCCGGTTTTAAGCGTTGCCGGGAATTTTGGGGCTTCAGACAGGAAACCCGACACTGATCTGGTTCTTCTGCCGTGCTTTTAGAATCATAGCAAGGCTTGGGTTGGGAGGGACCTTAGAGATCATCCAGCTGCACTCAGTATTATTCTGCTTGAGAGCTGTACCCTGGTGACATTGAAATGATCAGGCTGCAGGCTTGGGCACGGTAGAACTCAAAGTAGCAAAAACCAAATTTAAAAAAATCCTTGGCTGGTTCTTCCAGTGCAAGTTTTGGCACTTCAGGACTGGTATTTGCCCATCAGGACTGGTCACCTTGTTTGAAACTGGAAACACGAACTACTTGTCCCATGCTGCTTGCACTGCTTTGTAAGCTGCTTATTTACTGTATGTTCTTAATTTGTAAATCCTAAAAGTGCAGGAGGCAGGGCAGGTGATTGGAATCTCACATTGGAATGGTTTGGGTTGGAAGGGTCCTTAGAGATGATCCAATTCCAGCACACATTGCATGAGGCCTGTTTAAATCAGTGGGTTTTGCTCTGAAAGTGTTTTTATTTCCTCCTGGGCCTTGTCTGGTGCCTTGTGAGAGACCTGATCAGGTCTGACTTCCTGAGCTGTAGGTGAGTGCCAGGCTCCAGGTTATTCCATGGAATATCAGCTCCCCCCTGAGCAGGCTGGGCTGTCACAGAGTTGGTTCCCAGTCACAGGCTGTGATCCTTCAGAGCTGTAATCAGATTGGGAACTATTGGGGGTTAAGCAGAGAGGGGAATTTTCTTTATTCTCCTCCCCCAAAAGCGCTCAGAGGGAAGATGAGAGCACAGAACAAACTCAGCTGCTCCAGGCCTCAGAAGGAAACTCTGGTTTAAAGCTGTTGTGAGAGGCAGGTCTGGATGGGAAGTTATGAATTCAGCTGCTTTTCTAGGTAGAGATTTTCAGAGAAAGTACCTAAGGAAGCTCTGAGCCTTGCAGGTGTGTTGGCATGGGTAGGGAGGGGCCTTGTGAGTGTCATTTGTTATAATTAATTAATTAATACTTGGGGCTGGTTTGGATAAAGAAAGGTGCTGATCTTGATCCTTTTGTCCTGCAGCTAATGGGGGCTGTCTTGAGTTGTTGATCAGAGCTATTAATCAAACCCCAGATTATTTATGTAGGCAAAGAGTTCGTGCTTTTGTTGGTTTTAAAATACCTGTATATGCTTTTTTTACTGATCCTGACTTGATTTGCTCCAGCAGCAAGTGTGTTTATGGCAACAGACAAGAAATTAGCAATGAAAACAAGAAATTAGCAATGAAAACAAGAAATTAGCAATGAAAACAAGAAATTAGCAATGAAATTCTCCCCGGAAGTAGGGAGGCAGAACACTTGGTTAAAACTTCTGATACAGCTGCAGCTTCTGAGGAGTCCTTATCTCACTTTGTGCTCCCGAGGTGATCCCTGTGGGGAATTCTGCTGCTTCAGGGCTGTTGCACCTGTCAGGATCTCATTGGACAGACTCACCTGCCCGAAAGCCAGGCTGGTGCTTTGTGCTGGAGTGGCTCTGCATTCCAGCAGGGATGGACTGTAGTGTCCTCCAGCCTGTAAATTTGGAGCTTTATGGAGCTGTGGGCTTTGGGGTGGTGTCAGCAGGTGTGAAGTACAAACATTGAAGAGCAGCAGGGGACACTCAGCAGGGGCTGCAGCTTCTTCCCAAGAGGCAGCAGCAGCCTCTGCTCTGTGGGAGCAGGGGCAGAACCTGAGGCTGGGGCTGTGCCTGCCTGGGGAGGTTCAGGTTGGACATCAGGGAAGGTTCTTCCCCCTGAGGGTGCTGGGCACTGCCCAGGCTCCCCAGGGAATGGTCCCAGCCCCCAGAGCTCCAGGGGTGCACAGGGTGGGATTGTTGGGGTGTCAGTGCTGGACTCAGTGCTCGTGGATCCCTCCCAACTCAGGATATTCTATCAGTTTTATACATTTCTATTCATTGAATAGCTGCCAGCCCATTAGAACCAAAAGTTGTCTGGGATGGAGCGTGGGTGAGACCTTGGGGAGGGCTGGTGGTGCAGCAGGAGCACTCACACACCCATCCAGCCCCACAGCTGTACCATAGCACATCTGCATTTTTGGGAACTTTGGCCCTGCTCAGTGCCTTCAAACCTTGGAGGATCCCAAGGCAGAGGATTCCTGGCTTTTGGTATTCCACAGCCTGTGTATAAAGCAGGGCTGTGGATTTCCATACAGCTGCTGCAGCTGGCCTTGAGCTACCCAGCTTTGCTGTTTCAGTCCATGCAGGGTGACTACAAATAATTCATGGTGGAATTGGAAGGTTTCAGTGACCTCCCTCCCTGCAGACAGCTTGGTGTTCTCTCAGAACACAGCTGGTACTTTTACAAGCATGTAAAATCAATTAATCTTTTATACCAAGCTATCAAATTTAGTTAAAAACACCCCAAAACAAACCAAAACCTCAAAAAAAAATGTCACTAACACATACCAAAACATTATTGTGAATATAGCAGATCAGCTGGTTTTACTTTGCTATTAGGAAATTAGAGTTACTTATTTTCCTAAAAAATAACAGCACAGCAGAGGGTTTGTGGCCTGTGTGTGGGGAGGGAGGGTGGTCAGGGGACGATGGTGGGGCCACCTTGGCCAAGCCTGGACCTGTTGCTGTGAACTGGCTGCTGTTGCACAAGGCCCTGAGCCCGTGCCAGGAGCCAGAGCTCTGCCAGAGGGAGCTGAGGGCACTTCTCCAATCCTTGAGAGAAACTTGGTCATGCCCACAGAAAACAGGGAGAGAGGGCAGAGGTGCAGGGCCTGCTCTGAGAGGGCAGGGCAGGGGTGCAGGGCCTGCCCTGAGAGAGAGCAGGGGTGCAGGGCCTGCCCTGAGAGAGAGCAGGGCAGGGGTGCAGGGCCTGCCCTGAGAGAGAGCAGGGGTGCAGGGGCTGCTCTGACAGAGGGCAGGGGTGCAGGGGCTGCTCTGACAGAGGGCAGGGGTGCAGGGGCTGCTCTGAGAGGGCAGGGCAGGGGTGCAGGGCCTGCTCTGAGAGAGGGCAGGGCAGGGGTGCAGGGCCTGCTCTGAGAGAGGGCAGGGCAGGGGGGCAGGGCCTGCTCTGACAGAGAGCAGGGCAGGGGTGCAGGGCCTGCTCTGAGAGAGGGCAGGGCAGGGGTGCAGGGCCTGCTCTGAGAGAGGGCAGGGCAGGGGTGCAGGGCCTGCTCTGAGAGAGGGCAGGGCAGGGGGGCAGGGCCTGCTCTGACAGAGGGCAGGGGTGCAGGGCCTGCTCTGACAGAGGGCAGGGGTGCAGGGGCTGCCCTGAGAGGGCAGGGCAGGGGTGCAGGGGCTGCTCTGACAGAGGGCAGGGGTGCAGGGCCTGCCCTGAGAGGGCAGGGCAGGGGTGCAGGGGCTGCTCTGACAGAGGGCAGGGCAGGGGTGCAG